GCAAGGTGTGTCTCAGGGGGCACACATGACATTTGGTTTGTATTTTTTTGCTTATTTAGAGGAACTGCATGAGCAGTATATGTAGAAAAGGTCAGAAGGGGCCAGATTAGAAAGGGCCCATGGTCCACACTGCATTTTTTTTTTTAAGATGGAGTCTCACTCTGTTGCCCAGGCTGGAGTGCAGTGGCATGATCTCGGTTGACTGCAACCTCTACATTCTCTGGTTAAAGCGATTCTCCTGCCTCGGCTTCCAGAGTATCTGGGATTACAGGCACCCGCCACCACACCAGGCTAATTTTTGTATTTTTAGTTGAGAGGGCCTTTCACCATGTTGCCCAGACTGGTTGAACTCCTAACCTTAAGTGATCCACCCGCCTTGGCCTCCCAAAGTGTTGGGATTACAGGCATGAGCCACTGTATATTTCTATTACTGGCTCACATTGCATTTCTACTACCTGAAAACAATGTGGAAAATATTAATTACAAAGGAGATAAAAAGTAATACTGACTTGTTTGCCTGAAAACCCACATGGCAATTTCACTAAACCCATCGGTTAAGGAAAGAAGAGCAAAACTCTAAGTTTCCTCAAGGCTTCAATGCTCTCTGTTTCCTGCTACGTCAAGTCTTAATTTCCCTACCTGATTCAGGCTTCCCTAATCTGACTTCATCCAGACTCCTGGCGTCCCCGGTCCTCAGCGCATACCATTTATTCACAGTGCACCAGTGATGCCTGCCTCTTGCATTTTATTGATGAAACAAATGAAGATCCCAAGGGGTTCAAAAAGCGACTGTAGGAGCCAGCACCAGGTTAGAATGGAGTTTGAATTTGAACGCGCTTCCCTCTGTCAAAGCCAGAGTCCCTTCAGCCAGGATCTTTCCTGGAAGAACTCAGTATTAAGCCACTTGATTAGTTCTTCCTGTTGGTGGACTGATTGATTGCAGTCGAATCTTTTAGCCAGCTTTTGGCTGAGCTGGGCGTCTTCCCCGCCTCCCTCCACCTCTCCCTTCAAAAGCCTGAGTTTCCAAGGCTTTCTGCCATGGGTACTTAGCTTTGAAAAAAATGAACATATTTTTCATTCTTGTTGCTGGCCTCTTCCTGTGTCATGGCCATTATTCCCTTCTCCCTCACCGTTGACCTAGGTCAGTGCACAATGTGGAAGGACGCTAATTTAATGGTTAGCATTTCAGGGTCACTCCATGAAGAGGGGTTTGTGGGAGTCTTTTTTTTTTTTTGCCTCTTTTCTTTGGATCTGTTTGGTAATGTAACATTTTAAAGCCCTTCTTGGCTGGAGGATTTTTTATTGTAAACATAAAACGTTCATTGAAACATTAAACATTTTACAGCTGTTTTTCAGCACATAAATTTTCATAGACATCCACCCCCTCACTGCCACACCCCCTCATAGATTTCTTTCTTTTCCTCCTCCTCCTCCTCCTCCCTCTTCCTCCTCTTTATTTTTTTTCCTGCTCACATAGTTTGAAGACCAGAGTTGAGGGTGGGTGGGTAGGGGGCTAGTGTACAGATAAAATATAATGGGTGGTGTAGATCATCTAGTTTGGAAAAAGCACATTGTATTTTAATACCAGGAACACATGCACGCCAGAAACCTGCCAAGGAAAACACTCCCACTGCTCCTTCCAGCCCTGACTGGAGCTGCAATGAACCAGAGCCTTGTACCAAGTCTCAAAAGTCTCAAAAAGCTACTGGGAAAGCTTTCAATCTGTCTCCATCCACAAGGAGAGATAGAGGAGGCCTACTCTGAGAAAGCCAGAGTTAAGATGGTAGAAACCTGCATGTGATTTGTCCAAGGGCATCTTTTTGATATGATGACCCTTGGATGATTCAGGTACTTGTCAAAGCAGAATCAGCATAAAGGTGACCTAAGATGGGTCTAAAGTATGGCTGGGCTGGTCATGGTGGCTCATACCTATAATCCCAGTGCATTGGGAGGCCAAGATAGGAGGATTGTTTGAGACCAGGAGTTCAAGACCAACCTTGGCAATATAGCAAGACATTGACTGTACAAAAAATGTTAAAATTAACTAGACATAATGGTGCATGCCTGTAGTCTCAGCTACTTGGGAGGCTGAGGCAGGAGGATCACCTGAGCCCAGAAGTTTAAGACTGCAGTGAGCCATGATCGTGCAACTACACCCCAGGACTTTAGCCTTACCAAAGTCCATTGTAGTAATACTAGATATCAGCACCCTTGCCATGACCTCATGAGAGGTGGAATGAACTTATTGCTCCTGGATTTTTGGCTCTTGGCCTTGTAATTTATTTTGCTCATGGGATATTAGTCAACATGATGTGCGCAGAGTCTTCAGATGTGCTTGCACGTTTGGGTTTGTACTCTTGCGTTTCACCCATGGCCATTGCCTCTTCTTCAGCTTGGTCTCTAGAATGAGATACATGAAACAGACCTGAATCTGACTTACAGCTTGGAGAATTGTTCAGCAAACCCAATCAATATCAAACCAACCTCAACCAATCCATAGACTAGTGAGTGAGGAAAATAAGTATTTGATCTTGTGAAGGAAAGAAGTTTTGAGGTTCTTTGTTATGCAGCAGTATTATGGCAGTAGCTGATGAATAAATTCCCCCTCACCACCCTGCCAATCCAAGTGGCTTCCTATTCCATTTAGAGTAAAAATCCACAGTCTTTTCCAGGGTGTACATGTTCTGAAGACCTGAACCTCCTGCCTGCCTCCCAGAGTTTATTTCCTACGACACGTAGCCTTGGCCAGTGTCTACTCTAGTCTTTTTTCTTTTCCTGCCTCAGGGCCTTTGCACATGTTGTTTCTCTTGCCTGGGAAGAATGGTGGCTGGCACTTTCTTATCCTTCTTTTTTTTTAATTTTAATTTTTTCAGATGAAGTTTTTGATCTTGTCATCAAGGCTGGAGTACGATGGCACGGTCTTGGCCTATTAGAACTTCTGCCTTCCAGGTTCAAGCCATTCTGCTTCAGCCTTCTGAGTAGCGGGGACTACAGGTGTCCGCCACCATACCTGGCTAGTTTCTTCTCCTTCTGACACAGTTTAAATAGCACTTTCTCAGAGGCCTACTGTGACCATCCTACCCAGGTAACAATAATAAAGTAAAAATAACCGTCATTTCTGAAGTGCTTATTACTTGCCAGTGTTCTTAGCATCTCCCAACAACCCTAAGAGGTGGGCATTACAATTAGCCTTCCTACTGTTCAGGTGAAGAAACTGAGGCTAAGAGAGCCTTGGCAAGTTGAGTTACCCAGCTAGCAAATGGTGGAGTTAGATTCATACTCTGCCTCTCCCCGCCGTTTCTTTTCTTTTCTTTCTTTCTTTTTTTTTTTTTTTTTTTTTTTTTTTGAGGCAGAGTTTTGCTCTTGTTACCCAGGCTGGAGTGCAATGGTGCAATCTCGGCTTACCACAGCCTCTGCCTCCTGAGTTCAAGCAATTCTCCTGTCTCAGCCTCCACGGTAGCTGGGACTACAGGCAACTGCCACCATGCCCAGCTAATTTTTGTATTTTTGGTAGAGATGGGGTTTCACCATGTTGATCAGGATGGTCTCCATCTCTTGACCTCACGATCCACGCCTTGACCTCCCAAAGTGCTGGGATTATAGGCGTGAGCCAGCATGCCCAGCCCTGTTTCTTTTCTTTTGAGCACTTACCACTCTCTAAATAGGTATGCACTTGTTTCCTTGATTACTGTCTGCCTCTGTTTCCCTAGAGTGTAAGCCCATGAGCTTGTCCAGCCTATGGGGAAGAAAGATGCTGTACCTTGGCAGAGCACCGATTGCTCAGTATACCAGAGTTTAGTCCTAGCTCTGTCTCCAAGCTGCTCCTTGATCAAGGATAAAGTCCTTCTGTCTGCCTTAGTTTTTCTACTTGTCAGAGGAGGGGCTTGCTCTTGAACTCCTGAATTTTTCTGAGACTCAGTATCCTGCAGCCAAAATAGCAGTGCTTCATGGTGGTCCTGTTGCGTAGTTGCCTAAGAAACTCCAAGTCCACCTGTGCCCAAGAGTATTGAGCTTAGCCAGAGTGCTTGGGATTTGCAGAAGTGTCCCGGGCCTATTAATTTTTTCCACAGACTCTGCTGTTTCTCTCCCACACCTGACCCTGCACTCCTGTATCTAGCATTTATCCTGTACACCCCATGGAAATGCTAAATTCCTGAGCTACAAAGGTGAACAGGTACCAAAGGTAAAGCAGAGTGTCCACTCAATTACCTATTTGATGAGTGAATGAATGAATGAATGAATGAATGAATCTTGTCTACCACACCACAAATAGCTTGTCACAAACATTTATTTTAACCTAATATAAAGTAGCTCAGAAGACTATATACAAATAATTACTGTTGCCCAGTGGTGGAAGTACTTAACTCTTTCTGGAAAGTCTTTCAGTCATTTCTCTCTGCAGCATTTACTGAGCATTTCTTCATACCAAGCCCCGGGGATAGAGTTAAATAAAATAGAAGCTTAACTCGGCCATGCTGGCTGTGAAGTTCACCTTTCGGCTCCATTCTGCCATTCTCATCAGGGTCTTGCCCCATCTTGGCAGCAAGCCTGCTTTACCATGGGAGACCTCAGCTCTGATTACAGTACGTCTGCGATCAGCATGCCCTAACTGGTTAGCAGATGGCAGCTGCATGAAGTCACTGGGCGCAGATAGGAATCAACAAGGGAGATTAGGTAAAGTGCTTATTTGAGGTGCTGTCAGAGCCCGTGGCAAAGGGTTCCCTCATTCCCTCTGCAGTTATTTTTCATGCACACTCGGATTACACTGCTCGGTGATATTACATCTGCATGCGTCTTGCCCTCTGACGCGGCAAACACAGAGGCTGCCCAAATCCTTGTAAAGCCATATATCTTAAGTGGGAAGGAGCATCTTGGGTGGGGGGAGGCGAATTGATTTGCAAAGCAGCCTGACACAGGGTCTCTTATTTCTCCTTGCAATCAAATAATTCATCTTTATGCCCGTAGGGCTATGGTGAAATTCGAACCTGAGCAAAACCAACGACTCCAAGGTTTATTTGTAGCAGTGGGATTAGAGAAATTAGCCAAGTATATTCTAAAATGATCAATTGCTGGTCACATGGGCCTGGATGTGTGTTAGTCCTTGGGGGTGGGTGGACTGTGGCTATGGTGGCATACACACCCCTCTGCGACCAGGGGCTGCCTGCAAGGCTGCCTGCATTGACCTGTGTGCCATACATCACATGCAGACTACCTTTTAGCCACCTACAACATAGGCAGAACCCGCATCTTGCAAATGAGGAAACAGAGTGCGAGAGAATTCAGTCCTCTGCCCTACAGAGAGGAAAGGGGAAAGAAGTAGACTTTAAAGAAAGCTAAAATTCAAGACAGTACAATGCTTAAAAATTCAATGTAGCCTTTTGCATTAAAATTACCATTTTAATAATAATAGTTTAAAAGAGAGAAAGAGACCCAAACTGCTGAAACGCAGGGTTCGGGTTCTGGTGACACAATATTAAATCATCATGAAGCATGTCATGTTCTGTTGTTGTTACTGTGGTGGTTTTGGGGTCTATACACAGGGTCGAAGGATGTATTTATTTTAGTGGGGAAAATAAAGGTGGAGGATATGCATCTGGATGATGATGGAGCACGAGTGAGGCCGGAGGAAGTGTTTTCTGGTCTAGTTAAGGAGGAAAAATTAGAGGCCTTAAAATAGATGCCATATATTATATATCTGTGAAAATAGGCCAAGTAGATTGCCTCCATGAAAGCCGTATTGGATGTTCAAATCTCGAGTTACCTGAAATGCAACTGTACTTCCTATATTTAACCAGGCTTTTTATAAACTGTTCCTCTTAACACCTCAAGCTGACAACCACATCCTGGGTGGTTACTTAATACCAAGTTTGACTTTCTTCACTTTGAGGGTCCTCAAAATAGACAGAAGCCCAGAGAGTAGACTTTTAAATGTCTTGCACTGTTTACAAGTCAGATGCTTTTTGGCAGAGTGACTGTGAGCTCCCCACAACCATCCCGTCTCGTTGTTCTGTGGTAAATAGACTCTATCAGGGAAAAAGAGGAGAAAAAAGACAGCATATGGAAGGCATTTCTGAAAGTCTTTTTCACATCTTAAAAACAAAGAAGAAGAAGAGAAATGAAAAGAAGTGAGCAACGCCTCTGTGAAAGTACAGGTGTTTGTGGAGTTCAGCTGCTGCCTTGTTCAAAAAGAGGAAGAACCCCCCCTGCCCCTCCACCCCAGCCCAGGTCAGCTGGTAGCTGATCTCCATTTAACTCCTGTTCAGAGCTCAGTTCCTCTGCAGGACAGAAATGAGAGGCACAGAATTTCCTAGCTGTTTTGCCGCTCCTGCAGTCTGTAAGAAATGGGACCGGGACTCCTAGTTGTGAACCTGAAAAGATTCCCGTTAGGATCAGGAAGTACGAGTGGGGTTAGCAAAAGTAAAGAAAGAACAGGACTATTTCATTTTTTTTTGTATGTAAGTAAACTGGAATTTATTTTATTTTGTTTTGAGACAGAGTCTCACTCTATCACCTAGACTGGAGTGTAGCTACAGGATCTTGGCTCAATGCTACCTCCGCCTCCCAGGTTCAAGCGATTCTCCCACCTCAGCCTCTTGAGTAGCTGGGATTACAGGTGCCCACCACCACGCCCGGCTAATTTTTGTATTTTTAGTAGAGATGACGTTTCACCATGTTGACCAGGCTGGTCTTGAACTCCTGACTTCGAGTGATCTGCTCCCCTCAGCCTCCCAAAAGTGTAGTCCCTAAGTGTGGGGATTACAGGCGTGAACCACAGTACCTGGCCTTATTTTATTTTTTATTTTAGTTTCAGAGGGTATATGTGTAGGTTTGTTACATGGATATATCTTGCAAGATGCTGAAATCTGGGCTTCAATTGAACTCATCACCCAAATAGTAAACATAATACCCAATGGGTAGCTTTTCAATCCTTTTTCCCCTCCCTCCCTCTTTTTTCCCCCTCTTTGAAGCCCCCAGAGTCTATTGTTCCCGTCTTCATGCCCGTGTTTACCCAGTGTTGAGCTCCCACTTGCAAGTGACAATGTCATATTTGGTTTTCCGTTTCTGCATATATTCCCTTAGGATAATGGCCTCCAGCTGTATCCGTGTTGCTGCAGAGAACATTATTTTCTTCTTGTTTATGGCTGTGTAGTATTTCCTGGTGCATAGGTACCACATTTTCTTTAGCAGGTCCACCGTTGATGGGCACTTAGGTTCATTCCACATCTTTTCTTTGCTGTTGTGGATACTGCTGTGAAGAACGTGTGAGGGCAGGTGTCTTTTTGGTAGAATGACTTATTTTTCTTTCAATGTGTCTCCACTAATAAGATCACAAGGTCAAATGTTAATGCTGTTTTTAGATCTTTGAGAACTCTCCAGTTTGGTTTTCACAGGAACAAGGTTACAGAGAAAAGAGAAGAGTGCTGTTTGAAGCAGTTGAAACCAGACCTACTTCCAAAATGAACTGGACTCAGAAGGGAATAGTATAGTACATATAAAAGACAGACAGATTTATTTTATGTTTTGAACAACATAGCTGAAATTAATTCGAATAAAATATGAGATAAATAAACCGGGAACCTTTATGAATTATTTCTGACATCTAGCATTAAATTTAGCTGGGTTTCCTGGGAGTCAACAGCAAAGAGTTTTCAACCAAGAAAGGCAGCATAGGTGTATACTAACACATGTCGGTCCTGGAACATAAATCTGAAAATTTATTATATATTATATATGTTTATATGCATATGTTTGTATATAAATATACATATAAACACCCAAACTCATTATAAAAAGACAAGGTGACATAATAATTTAAAATAGTTTACTAAAAATATTAAAACATTCTTCTATCAGTCATACATGCCTTATATTTATGTAGATACAAAAATAGAGTGTGATATTAAACAGTAAGTTTAGAAAGCCATTTTTGCAGAGTTAAAAAATATATAGGTCCAGTTCCTTACCAGCATTTAGACATATTTTGATGAGAGAAGGAAAGAAGAAGGAAGGAGAGAGGGAAGGAAGGAGGGAAAGAAAGAGAAAGAGAATGGAAATTCTCGAAAGAAAAAGAAAGAAAGGAAGGAGGGAGGGAAGGTAAGAAAGAAATTAATTCACATTTTAGAGTAAGACTGTAGGCAGAGTGGTCGCCCAAGTGAAAATGAATAACCAATTGTGACTTGCTTCTGGTCCCTCCACAGGGAAGTGGACTGCCATGATATTTCTAAAGATAATTAGCATTTTTCTTTAAAGAAGGAGGAGGAGGAGAGAGAAGACATAGAATCCACTCAGGGAAGTGAACATAAATTCTGACCTTGATTATTTAAAACAAATAAAGACCAAATTTTACCGATCAGCTGCCTCAATCCCTAAAAGAAATATCTCTTGCACAATGTCTGCTTTTGAGTGATTCACTTGGACACATAATACCTTTAAGTAGTTGAGTGACTTGAAATCTTGGTAAACGTTCTTTAGTATTTTGTCTGCAAGTGTTAAAGACTATCAGGTTAAAATGAGAGTTTTACTCTTTCTTTTCTTTTTCTTTTTTTTTTTTTTTTTTTGTGGATGGAGTCTCACTCTCTTGCCCAGGCTGGAATACGTTTCGATCTTAGCTCACTGCTGCCTCTGCCTCAGCCCCCTTTCTAGCTGGGATTACGAGCACATGCTAACATGCCTGGCTATTTTTTTTTTAATTTTTAGTAGAAAAGGGGTTTTGCCCTGTTGGCCAGTCTAGTCTCGAACTCCTGGCCTCGGTGATCCCTCTGCCTCGGCTTCCCAAAGTGCTGAGATTAGAGGCGTGAGTCACCACACTCAGCCAAGAATATCATTTTAATATGATTTAGCTAACACATTCCACAGATTTTTAAACTCACTTTCAAATCTTGATAAAATTCTATGAGATAAACATTTGTCTTGGGTTTTCCCATGATAGTGGTTTAGCATTTATGGAGCCCTGCTGTGTGCTAAAGACTTTATATGCACTATCTTCCTTAATCTTCACCACAACGTTATGAAATAAGTGGTATCCAATAAATTTAATCAGATAATTACTTAAATGACCTGGCAAGCCACCCTACCTAGCTGGCCAGGAATCCCGAGGGTTAGGCTTCCTGATGCAAATCTGTCGTGGTCCCAGCGTGGCCTGGTGCCAGCAGCAGCAACTGCACACTCCAGCTTAAATATCAAGGGGTAATTTTGGGCCCTTTGGCTGGCTGATCCTTCCAGGATGGAGGCAATGATTTCAAGAATGTCCTAGATAGGCAGCTCTCATTTCGTTGTCCAGATACAAAGACAATGAGGAAGAAGAGAATTGGGGTTGGGAGGACCAGTCACCCCTGTGTCTCAAGATACTTCTCAGTTTTCTTTATCACAGCAAGTGTTACTGCAGAGTTTCACTGCATCATATCCTTGTTGAATAAAAGTTGGCTGGGTGCAGTGGCTCATGCCTGTAATCCCATCACTTGGGAGGCCAAGGCAGGTGGATTTCTTGAGCTCGGGAGTTTGAGACCAGGCTGGTTAGCATCCTGAAACCCCATCTCTACAAAATATAAACACAAATTAGCTGGGCATTGTGATGTTTGCCTGTAGTCTCAGCTACTCAGGAGGCCGAGATGGGAGGATTGCTTGAGTCTGGGAGGTCAAGGCTGCCATGAGCCAAGATCACACCACTGCACTCAATCCTGGGTGACAGAGCAAGACCCTATCTCAAAAAAAAAAAAAAGATAAAACTTAAGCCTAGAATTGAAGAGACTATTCCAAGGTCGCATGGCTTTTAAGTGGCAGAAACAGGGGAATTCTGTCTAACACAGTCCAATTTATCCATCTCAAGAAGAGAGGTATGCCCAAGAGGATGATGATTAAATTATCATTAATGTGAACTCTTGTAATTGCTCTCATCACTTTCTTTAAGCTTATCTCATAGGGCACTGCTAAGTATTATTAGATTGTGATTATAAATGGATTCAGCCAGGCATTGTACTTTTGCTCCGTGGCAGCTCTTTCTCTAGAGAACTCGGTCTCTGGAGATGCCATCTTCTGTGTCTTCACTCACTGGGGATGCACCGATGGAAGCGTTACTTCTCTTCTTGACATTCTTGCTTCCTTCTTCTGTAACGGCAACTGGTGGATGCTCAGTGAGTTTTCGGGAAGAAGGCATTCAGGCTGATTTCAAACAACCTAAGGTCAATGTGCAGGTTAGTAAGTACCTGTGTCTTATCATTGAGCTGGTGAATGAATGAATGACTAGGTCATTATGAATTTCTAGACCAGGGTTTTGGAGAAGTTGGCATCAGATTTGAAAGCCAGTGTTCTCTTAGCACCTACCACGTTCTTTTCCTTGCCTTCCTAGATTTCCTCCTCTTACAGTTGTTGTTTTTTTCTCTCAAAACAAATGATATTTATTAAAGAAAAATTCCTTTTCTCGTATACCAACCAGTTGCAGCCTTTGGATGTTTTAATTATATAAAAAAGCATGGAAACTGGGGATTTTAATTAACAAGCCAGCCTTGACACAAATAAATGCACTGCTTTGGTTATGCAGTGCTTTTATTTGGTTTTCCTGAAATACAAAAAAAGACATCTTCTCCTTCATCACCAGAGTTGCTGAGTTTGACTAGTGTGGATGAGATGACCTCTGAGGCCTCTCCTTATAGATCTGAGCAGTTGAGCCTGGCCTGGGAGCTGTAGTGACTCAGCCCATGGGTGATAACTCAATCACAGTCTGTGCTGTGTCCTGCACTGTCCGCTGTCTGCAGGGGTGGCACTGCCGTGCCCAGGGAAGATAATGCTGTCCACCAACAGCCAACCATTTATGCTATTAAAGAATACACAGGAGTTGAACAATGAGAACACATGGACACAGGGAGGGGAACATCACACACCAGGGCCTGTTCGGGGGTGGGAGTCAAGGGGAGGGAGAGCATTAGGACAAACAGCTAATGCATGCCGGGCTTAAAACTTAGATGACAGGTTGATAGGTGTAGCAAACCACCATGGCACATGTATACCTATGTAACAAACCTGCACGTTCTGCACATGTATCCCAGAACTGAAAGTAAAAAGAAAAAAAAAGATTTTACCAAAAAGAATACACCAGAAAAAGGAGACCCCCACCTTGAAGGATTTAATTCTAGGATTTGGAGAACATCTTA